AGTCAATCCTGACCGTATGAAATATTTTAGTAATTTGTTTAATCAAAAATAAATTGATCTTTCTCATGTGTTTTTGATTGACACAAATAACATATCCGACAACGAGAGATAAACTGATAAAGGATAAAAGTGACACAATTGAAATAGTCTAATACTGATCAAGTCATAGACTAAGCCTTTTCTATGTAGATATCTTCGGTTTGGATCGTGCATATAAAAAGACACAAGACAACGAATTAACTTCTACGAAGAAAAACAAAACATTTGATTTTCTACTACTTAATTACTCACCAAAATATAAATGTTTTCGACAGCCAAGAGAATTGAGATAACAAGTGTACATGATGTAAGAATGACAGCAATATAAATAATATGTATTCGTTTTGAATCATCAGTTGTTTTCTATGAATGACATAAAAATGAGTTATATTATTCATGAAACATTGCATATTTACACTGTGCAGAATCATATCATATATTGTAAAACTACAGATTATAACCATTAAAGTAGAGCACAGACTGGAAAATGCTCGATAGAAAATGGATTCATTCGAGAATTCATCACTTTTTTGTCTTTCAGATGTAGATGACGATTTTGATGAAATCATTTTAGAGTTCATCATAAAAATGAAGATGAGATTGTTATCAATAAAAGTTGAATATATTAATCTTTTATATAGTAATAATAATATTATAATCTATAATAAAATAATTCATAGATTAAGTGAAAATCACTCAAGTTCATCTACAGATTCATTTATCTAGTCTACTCTTATCGATCTTACTTGTATTTTCTAATCTAATCCTCAGTGGTTATGCGGAAGAGGAGTGTAGATTTAAGACGTGTGGGACCAGTTCCGGGACCAAAATTTGAAGTTTTACCGGTAGTAGGAATTCAAGAAAAAAAAGTTATCGGGATCGAAACCAAAGAAAAAAAAAATTGTTCCAAGCGAAACTAAAGAATTTTCTATCATTTTGAGCAAATTATCTCATAAATCGCACTGATCAAAACAAAATTCAGGAGAGATCACCGAAAAAATGACGTTTTGTCGACTAAATAAGTCAAAAAACGACTATTCAAGAACATTTTTAGATTTTAATGTGAGTAAATTTTGAATAGTTTGCTTCAGACTGAGACCGGTACTAAAGACCGGAATAGAATTACCGGGACCGGAATCGGGACCACGAAAAAAGAAACTACCAGTACCAGATCAGGACCAAGACTAAAAAACCTTGGTCCCGCACATCTCTCATGTACATTATTCTATTATTTCTGAGTAATACAATCATAGATTTACTGTTCATTTGCAGAGACAGTAAAGAAAGAAAACAATGGAATATACAGTTCTAACGAAATAATTGATATTTCTCTCTTCAAACATAATTAAATATGAATATTATATTTTTTTCAAAATATTATTATTGATGTATACATCGTATCAACAATTTGATCTGTTTCATCCACGTTTTCTTAAATCGAAGAGAAGTGAAGAAGAAACGAAAAACAGGCAAATAATTTTTTATTTATTTAATTATTCTCTTCGTTGATTTGTTAATATTAATTATCTACTTTAAATTCTTTTCTCTAGCATTTCAAAGATCTTTTTTTTAAAGATTTTAAAAGTTTTCTAATTGAAGTTGTAATTATTTTGTAATAAAGATTAAAACTAAAGTGAAGATTAAATATTTATAAAATATTATTTTAGATTTTGGATTTAAAAGAATATTCATTCTCCTGATTTTGAGTGAAGATAAAAGTCAGAAATTGTCTTCAATAATTTCTCTAACAATATCTCAATCATAATAATTGTAAGAGAATGAAAACAAATTCAATTTTAAGATACATTAAACAAGAAAAATATGACAATATTAAAATTAATAGAAGAGATGAACATATTTCAAAAAATAATTCTCTTTTTTAATCATTTAAAAATGTATAATACATATACAATACAAAGACTGAAATGAATGAGAATATTTTAATTTGAATTCTATCAAAAGAAAAAATTTATTTTCATGAATGATATGCATTTTCATTTGATTTGAGATATTATTATATATTTTACCAACGACAAAATAAATGCCCGTCGTATTTTTGATATAACTTTTGATAGAAACAAGATAGAGAGCTGCGGTTTTCACCGTTGGAAAGAGGAGATAAAGACGCATCGAATCACATGTTACAGACATTTTAACCTGGTTTTTGTAGGATTTTCAAATGAGCTTTTTGTACAACAACGTTGTTGATAGATGACTACAGTGAATTTTCAATTATCTGATGTAAATTGAAAGCGCCAATTGAAGACCTATAAAACTGTGCAAGGCTTAGATTCTTAGCTTCAATCATTCAAGAGTTATAGGTATTCTACTCGAAACTATAAGCCGATTTTTCTAGCAATTCCTCTGAAAAAAGCACTATTTTTTTTCGCTACCTTTTTTAGATAATTGGTTCAAAAAGTCTCAGAAAATATATTTAAAAAAACTGTAATAAATGTTTCGATGCGTCTTCATCTCCTCTTTCCAACGGTGAAAATCGCAGCTCTCCATCTTGTTTCTATCAAAAGTTATATCAAAAATACGACGGGCATTTATTTTGTCGTTGGTAGATTTATTCACTTAGATTAATATGTAAAATAATCAAAATGAATTATTCTAGCATAAATATTGTCTAAAGTAATTCACAAAAGATTATGATTTAATTGAGCCTGTCGTGTTGAATTAGTTTTCTTTTTTAAATAGAATAAATACACATATGAGAAGAATAACAGAATAAATTGTGCTTTATTATTGTTTGAATTAATCTAAAGATGTTTAATAAGAAAATCTCAATCTTTGATTGTTCAAAAATCATTTGACATTTTAACTGATGAACAAAGAAGAATCTGCAGAGAAATAATGAAAAATTCTATCTACAACATATTTAAGACTATAATGATGATCATTAGAATGATAATCATGAAGAGATATTTACATTCATTTATTCAATTAGAAAACTAAAAAATATATTGACAACATATTATGTACTTTTTTCTCACTATATTAAATGAACTAATCTATTCTCATATATATGAAAATCATTAGTTATGTATATGTATGTTTTAGGATTGACGGTCTTAGATAAAATGAAAGAGAAACTTACCGTTTCTATTAAAATACAAATGAGATTAAATTTATAGATTCTCATGAAAATATATCGATAATACTTTCTCAATGTGTTTAATAGAACGAGTTTGAATAAATATGAAGATTTCTAATCAATCAAATCAAAACAATTTTATTCGATTTAATTTCTATTTCTGATATGTCTGCAATAAAAGTATATCGTTGAATAAAATTTATTCTGTCAAAGTCGATGAAGTTAATTATTTTCTAAAGAAAAAAAAAAACAATCAAAACTTGCTTTTTGTTAAAAAAAAGAATTTATTGTAAAGAACTTCTTCACCTAACAAACTCTTCAACACATAACAATTCTTAACTTCTATTACTTTTAATAACTTAATCTAATGATTATAAATCATGAACTTCTTTATATTTCAAATAATAATACCATTCGAGAAAATTAATATTTATCAAAATACTCTATTTGAATCTTATAGAAAATAAAATAAATTTAAGAAAAATTCATTTAATATGAAGTTCAATCTGAAATCTCGTATTTTGACTTTAACTTACTTGTTTTAAAAATAGAATTACTTTCAATCAATTTATCTCAATTTGAAAAACAACCAATTACAATATATGTATATGTAAAAATGTTTACTTTACATTGATGTTGTTAAGGTATTTCAATAAAAGATAAAATTGATTTAAATCGATATTTAGCTACATAGTAATAGTCTTTTAACATCAAAAGGAGACGATAATCACATTAAAAAAATCTTTCACTATTTATAGGTCTTGTTTAAAAGATGTGTTGATAAAGCAAGTTTATGAATAAAAAATATAAGAATTTTAACGAAAATAAGCAAGATATTTTATATCGAAAAGAAATAAATACAGATGATAATTTTTTGTTCGCTTTCAAACTCTACTAATACATATGATAAAATATAAGAAAAAAAACCATAATATAACTCTAAAAAAATAACATCAACTCAATATAATAAGAAAAAGTGAGAATACATACATACTCTAATCATAACAACAAAAGAAAGGAAAATATTAGACTGTCTTATCAGAAAGGAAAGAAATTCCTCTCATTTTGTTGCTCGGCAAAGGACATGATGACTAGTGCGTCTATGTTTCCAATCAACAACTAAGATAACAGATGACGCTAGTATATGTAAAGTATTGCGCTACCCAAATCGAGACGAACGTAGCTAAAACGCGTTTGCCACGTGCTGCGCCAACGCATGTCGATTAAGTAGCTCTGCACGTGTGCGTCGCGTTTCAAACGCATTTCTTATTCGTTCTTCACACGTTTTTGGTGCATAAGCACATTTGTGATGGTACTTGCGACCAGGGTTCCCGATTATTTTTGAGAGTGGGGAGAGGGGAGGGACTAAAAATTTGGCAGAAAGTCTATAAGTTTTTCGCAGAAAGTCGACTTTTTTTGCAAAAAGCTTCAGTCTACTAAAAAAGCAGGAATTCTTTATTAGAGATAAAAGCTAGTAATCATGCCTTATTCGATCTAAAAGTTCGTCGACATAAAATATTTTTTTCGAAGCAAAAAAGAAAAACAAATGTTTTAATAACTAGTCTTCATCACTATCTTCTTGTGCCTCTGCATCATCATCTTCCATGAAGATTTTGATGCTCCTGGTTTTTGCTCAACTTGGATGACTTATAAAATCATGAATGATATATTGGATGGCTTCTTCTGTCAAAGTTGGAACCAATGTTGCAACTTTTATACATATTTCAGCTACTGAGTTGCTTATACGATTACGTTGCCATGATTTAATTCTTCTCTGTGAGGAAGATGAACGTTCAGCTTCATTTGAACCAACGATAAAAGCAGCTAACACTTGATACAATCTATACCATTCCGGTGCTTGTTCTTATCCATATTTGGCTAAATGTGTTAATATTGATGTAATTGTTGTCTTATCTTTTGTGAATGTTAGAAATGAATGAACATCTGTTTTTAATTTGTAGATGTTTAACAATGGTGGATCTGTCCTTGTATATACCTTGTTATCGACACTAATGTGTGTATATGTGATCTCTTTTGTATATTTCTGTATCGATTCGTTGTTTAATAATTCATCAGCAGTCATCTTCGATGGTGTTGATAGAATGGAGAAATTTTTAATCAATTCTATAGCTTCACGATCAAATTTTGCGTTCAATGATTGTAGAACACTCGCCACTATTTGTTCTCCACTTTCTCGTAACTCATTTTCATCAAAAGTTTGCTGAATGAGTACTGCTTGTGCTGGTGCTCGGGATCTCGTCGAGTGAGTTGTAGAAAGTATTGTTGGCATATATTGTTGTACATTATTCATTAACGTTCGTAATGAAATAAAATCAAACTCTTTCACCGTTTGACTAATTGCAGCTACGGCTGCATCCACGTGCATTGTAAAATTGTCCATGCACGATACCCTTGTTTCTATTTGTCGAAGAAATTTCATGGCCGGTTGTAAAATATTTTTTAAAAGAATTATTTTAAAAGCTGTTCGATTTTGTAATAAATCAATTGCATATCTTTTGTCATCAGACGCTCCATCTATTTTCAGTTGAGAGATAGTGGTCAGAGTTTGAACGATCGATAAATAATGTTTAACACCAAATTGTACTGTTTCATAATTATAAGTCCATCGCGTATTGCTTGGTTTGGGTGTTGTATGCCCTGTGAATGAAGAAAAGTACTCATCTTGTGTTTCTTTACAAAACTCCAGAGATTTGTACCTTTTTTGCTAGTTCCATTAATTTTTTTGGCTATTCAATAATATTTCCAGCCTCTGTGGACTGTCTCGGATGAATCCTAAGGGATTACTCGAACATTACATACATACTGTTTCATTGCATCATCATTCTTTTACTCTCTTCCTTTTATGTGACGACGTAACAACCAAACGAATCCTAAACTAGCTTTTAATGCATCGAAAGAATCATTACAATTATTCTCGATTGCTTCTTTCACTGCCAAATTCAACAAATGACTACGACAATACAAATAGGTCGCCCAGGTCGATAAGCGTGCTTGAACATGGTCGGTCGTCTGAAACCTCATTGATGATACACCATCATATGTTTGACCAGTGATAATAAACTGTTTGTGAGCATCTTTTTCTAACTGATCAACAAATGATTGAATTATATGAAAAAAGCCTATAAGAAAAAGAGAAGTTTGCCCTGTTCATCTCAACATTGACGTATTCTCGTATTGTACCTTCACCAGTAGTATCAAATATTGGCTTAATTTTAAATAGTTCCTCTTCAATTGTACCTGTATCTTGTTCAACATATCGCAAACAAATTGACACCATTTTTTGTATTGAAATATCTTGTGTTTCGTCTACAATTATATTTATGTAATTTGATTTTCTAATAGATTGCATTTGTTGTTGTTGTATGTAACTGTTTATCGATAAGAGCCATTCTGAAATAGCTTCGTGACCCCAATATCTAAAACGGAACGTACTAACATTATTTTGTTCTACTGGGAGGAAGTTTGATGCTATACCTTTGTTTGACATTAGACAATTTCATCCATTCAACGATCCCTGGACATTCAACACGTTGTAAGAATTGTATCAATGATTTAAATTTCATGAGAGCGATTTCTTCTGTCAAAATGTACCAAATTGCTTGTATTAATATGGATAAATATTTTTCCGTTTGTTTTTGCATGTTTACACAGCGCATTTGATCAACAACATTTCCTTTATTACGAATAGTTCTTCCAATAATACGCCGTTCTTTTGATTGTCGATACAAATCACTTTGTTCATGCTCACGAATACCTGATGAGCAGAAAGATTACAGTAATGATTTATTATCTTCCATACCTGTATGTTCCAGTTTCCAATAAGGTCTAGCAATAAATGCACCACCACTTCGTTCGATTTTTGCTTGATCTGATGCAAATTCACTACAATCTGCACATAACAACCCGTATTTATTATCTGTGCAAACTGTTCATAACCAGGAGCGATGATCACTAAACCATTGTTTACTTGGTTTATGAATCGTTTTATGCTGTTGTTCTTTGGAATGTTGTTCCGGATACCATTTGATGTTCGAATGTTGAGCACGTTGTTTATCAACAAAAGATAGTTCTTGACTGTTAATAAAACGAACACCGGCTATAGATTTTGTTACTATTGGTGGGCGACTAATATCTGTGTGCTTGTGTTGTACAATAATATCATCATCAGCATTATTAATATTACAATTGCTATCTTCTGTATCATCACTCTCACTATTTGTTGTATCGGAAGAAGTGTCACTTTGAGATTGGTCTGACATGTGTTCTGAAGAAAAACCATCAGCCAGATGAAAAGAAAAAGCTAAAAAGTTGTGATTTTCAATTCAACTTACGAGAAACTACTACACTATCATCTATCGCTTGAAAATCATTTGTAGTTGTTGGTATTAATAAACAGATATCAGGACTTTTTGGTTCATCAATGGCTGCAAAGGATGAAAGTTGTCAAATAGACCTAAAAATGTGATAGGAACTGGTTTTTCATACCTCTGTCCGTTTCCATGTTTTCAGCATCAGTAGTTAATACGGGTGCTTCAATAATTAAAGATGTATTGACAAAACTGGATTGATTGCTATCCACAGACTGTGCATCTCCAGAAGATTGAATATCACTTTATTGCTGGTCTGAGGGGATGTTTGTTTGGTAATAACAAAATTTTTCATTGAAAATATGTTTTTTGTAACTACACTTGGTGATGTGGTGATTGCTGCTTTTGATGAAGCAGATGAAGTATTTGATTTAAGTTGTTCATATTGATTATTAATTTTTTCTTCTGACATTAACATGGAGTGTTTTGCACGGCAGTGATCTTTCCACTTTTTGAGCAACATCGTTTTTGCGCACACTGGATAAGAAACCTCTTTACTAATGGGATATACAGATTTAGAAGCCATTTTAGAACAAAATACTTATACAAAGCAAACACAATTTATAATATCTATGAAGTAATGCACTTAAAACTACTATTTTTTGATGGAATATCAAGAAACAGCGACTTGTGTACGATTTTTGTGTACTCAAAAAGTGAGTACACTCTAGAATCGGTCAGTGTGTCCGGCCGTTTACACGATAACTTTCGAAAGGAGAGTCCGATCGCGATGAAATTTTCTACACAGTTTAGTCTTAACAATATCTCGGTCGAGAGAAGAAGATGAGAAGGATCGGCCGAGCTGTTCCTGAGTTATTGCAAAAATACCCATTTTTTCCTATGGCTTCCTATCGGAAAATCGATCCATCGCCGCTTTCGTAAAAGACTTTTCCTATCATAGTCAAATAAAACCCCAACTATTATATACCATTCGATAGAGAATTTCAAGAGCTACAAAATGATATATAAAACATTAGGAAACAAGAAGACTATCTCACCCATTGGAAAGGTAAAAAGGCAAGAATCGGTTCTGTTTTTGTGCACGCTCTAATTGATCCCCAATTAGAACTCTATCTTCCTATCATAGAGGTGATAATCGAAGGTTTTCTGGAGCGAAGAACTAGAATCTGCACTAAACTTGCCTCGAAGCCCCATTGGTTGAGTATTGACCAATAGAAATCAAGTTATAGGAAAAACGACTTTCTGAGGCTAAGTAAAGCCGAAGAGTTGAAATTTGAGCTGTATACGATCCCAAGTCCTACCGGTTGTGCAGTAGGCAATGAAATTCAAGGGTTTATAGAAAAGGTTTGCCAGGCAAATTTTTATATCCAACCATTCTAGGATGACCGATTTGTCTCATTCACTTTTTGAAGTATACATAACTCTCGGATATAAATCCGAGATTTCCACATTTATTTTCTTATAGTGCCAATTTTGTGGTACCTAGTAAAATTCCTTAAGAAGAATGTTTTCAAGAGAAAAAAAAGCACCCCAAATTATTCAAAGTATTCACAGTAAAAATTTCAGGTCGATTGATTGCGGTGCGAGAGGAGAAAAGGAGGAGAAAACTTCATTTTTTTGCTGAAAAAACTGATTTTGAGAAAAACACAAAGAAATTTCTGTTTTTTTGGTTTTTTCAGTATATTTTGTGATTTTTTTCGAAGTTTTTTATATATAAGATGTGGGTTTTCAGTTCTCAAAGTGTGTTCAATGGATAGAGGGCATTTAAATCTATATACTAATCACAAAAAATGCGAAAATTTTGAGTCAGGAAAGGGGGGTCCCCTTAAGAGAGCATGGCAGCATATAACATAAGAAATGAAACCAACTTTTCACAAGAAATTTAAAACAAATAACATCGACTTTCTGCAAGAGATTTAATGGAAATCATAACGACTTTCTGCAAGAAATTTGGCAGAAACTAAATCAACTTTCTGCCAGAAATTTTGTAGAAATAATGTATACTTTCTGCAAGAAATTTAATAGAAATAACAAGGACTTTCTGTGAGAAATTTGGCAGAAACTAAATCAACTTTCTGCCAGAAATTTAACAGAGATAACATATACTTTCTGCAAGAAATTTAATAGAAAGTACCTTAGGTTTAATTTTAATTCAGCAAATGCAGGAGTTTTCTGCTGAAGTGAACTTAAAAAAATTCGCAGAAACTATCATCAAAAATTTGGGCAGAAAGTCTGAAATTTTGGAGGAGAGAAGCCCCTCCCTGCTTCCCCCCTAATCGGGAACTCTGATCCTAACAATTCCAATAAGATTTTGACAATTTTGAACAGTCAAAATTTAATAAAAAAAACAATTGATCAACTCGTTCAGGATCTCTATCTAATTTGAGAACTTTTTCGAAAGTGTTTCATGAGATCCGGTGGTCACATCATTCGTTGTGACCAAGTATCAGACAAAAAATTGCAAATATCAATTTTTTGATTAAAATATTTCATTGATAAATCCATAAAACACTGTACTATTCATTTATAGACTACTGTTAAAATGCTTTTAAAATCCACTTTACCTCAAAGGTTGGGGAAGTTTGTAAGAGAAAAACGAAAAAATTTCTTGAGAGAAGCATAGAAATGTTCATACATCTTTGACATACGCGCCCTCTCATTCCCCGGAGCTTCTTTAAGAATAGCCTCTATTCTCATAAATGTTTGTCTAAGGATAAATGGAAGGACTATTTGTATTCAAAATCTGATAAAGTTTTATGAAACGTTTTGAGATTTGTTGAAATGATCGAATGAGCAGATAAGCATATCTATTTAAGAGTTCAATGGTTTCAACTTTGAAAGTTGAATTGACTTGTTAAATAACAATTAAACAATTAAACAAGTGAATATTGCTTTGTGTATGTATGTATGTATGTATTGTGCTAAGAATTTGTGGTAGGTTTAGCGATAGAAATGTCTATTGTATCTCAATTATCATTAAACAATTGAATAATTAAAATATTCAATAAATGAATTGAACTTTTGAGTTTGACATAGCTAAATCGAAGATGAATTTTAATATTAGTTGACAATAAATAATTATTTTATTAATATTAAATAAAAAAATTTCAATTACTATAATTTCACGTCATCTACAGGAATTTTATTTTAAAAAAAATCTATTCTATTCGTCACTTTGATTTATAATTGATGAAGCATAAAGATAGATGATTGTTGATTATTTATATTGAATTTAATGATTAGTTTATAAAAAAAAATGTCTTCGCGACTTTATGTACCGTGTTCAGCATTAAATCCAGAAGATATAGAAAGTCTTGTTCAGTTATGTTCATCGCAAGATAAAGATCGTGTTGATAAACATGGAGGTCGTAAAGCAGCACTTAAATATTTATTAAACTTCCAATTAGCTGGATTAGATTTATCACCTTATATCGATTTAAAAGCATTTGAAAAATTAAAAAACGAAATTAATAAATTAAAAACAATTGATCTTTATAAAAAAGAATTTGATGAAAATCAAGATGATAAATTTGAACCATATTGGGAATTAACCAATCAGTCACGTAAAATTCATTCAGTAGCTAAAGCAAATCGACAATTTACAGATAAAAAAGTTTTTTTTTCACCTGAACAATTAAAAGTTTATTTTAATCCAAAACAAATAGCTAATATACCTTATTCACAAGGTACTTATGAATCATGTGGTTTTGTTGATAGTGATGCGAGAGATAATATGATTAAATATCCTATTATTCAACGTCATAATAAAGGTCAAATAAATACAATACAAGGAAGAATTGAACAAGCTATTTTTCATGTTCCATCTGGAAAACAAATTATTATTTTAGATTTTGCAGATGAAAGAATGCCTGCAGGTAATATTTGTTTATTTATATATTTATAACATAATTATATTGATTATCAATAGGTCTTTTTCTTTATGGAGCTACAACACAAGAAGAAACAATTTGTTATAATTCGGATGCATATCGTGCTTTACTTGATTTTAAATATCAACGATTTGATGGAGGTTTTATCATTCCAGAATTTGGTTGTTTATATATTAAAAGTGCTCAATTTTTTAAACGAGATCAACCAGATGTATATCGATATGTTGATATTGTTGCTGCTGCTTGTTATGATTTAACAGGAGAACATGGTTTACATAATAAACCAGATTCTAATGAAGATATTGAAAAAAATACTGAAAAAAAATTAGAAACTATAATTGCTGCTGCACAAGCAAATAGTACAAATAATGGAGAAAATACTTATCTTATTTTAGGTCCTATTGGATGTGGAGCTTTTCAAAATAAAATTCAAACTATTGCCAAATTATGGGCTAATGTTTTATTAAAACCATTAGATACTAATTTAAATACAAAACAATATCATGTTTTTGAACAGATTTGGTTTCTTAGTGGTTCAGAAGATAAATTGAAAGCTTTTGAAGACGCTTTTCATCTTGACTCTCAACAAAGACAAAAATGTAATCAATTTAGATGATTAAAACATTCATCAAAGTAATTATTTATTATATATTTTTTATCGTTTTATATTTATTTGTTAACATTTTTAGATCTATATTATTAATAAATATGAACTATTTTATCAAATCAATTTTTTATAATAAATAATTAAAGATTCTCCAAAAAAACACGTTACATTTTAAACAATTTTAATTAAATTTTTTATGA